TTTGAAACACATATGACTGTTTAAATCAAAGTAATTATCTTTTTAGTTTGGAGTTTAGTGTGTATGTGTAAGTAAAGCCTATGAGAGCAATAGCAAAAAGAATAAAGGGAGTAGTAAATGAATTACAATAAGATTCTTACATTTTTATATAAAGTATGATATTAAATTGAATTAGAGTTTGATAAGGCAAGGACTCATATTGTGAGCTGATGGCAACCAGCTCTTTTGCTGTGCCTTAAACCGACTTGTTTCCTGGGATGTCTGGTCATTCTTTTTCACATTCAAGACAAAGAAAATAAAATTGGTAAAATGGTAGACTTAAGCCCAATTATACCAGTACCTATATTATATCCAAATGGGTTACATACACCAATTAAAAGCAGAAATCAGTCTGGATGAGAAAAAGTGAGAACAAACTATAGCTAGTGTATAAGAAAAGATTTTTTTTATATAAAAAGACTCAAATAGGTTTTAAGTAAAAGAATAGAAAAAATATACTTGGCAAATAGTAGGCCTAAGAAACTTTGTGCAGCTATATTAATATCATAGGAAATGAACTTAAGGAAAATGAACTTAAAGAGAAAAATATTACAAAAGATTAAAAAGGCATATTTTAATAATAAAGTGTCAACTCATTAGGAATACATAATAATTCTAAATAAGTATATACCTAGTAACAGAGCTTCAAAAGACATGAAGCAAAAACTGACAGAACTAACACATTTTAATTCTCCTTTCTTAGCAGTTGAAAGAATAAAAAGATTTTAAAAAGTAAAAGGATATAGATGATATGAACAAAACTACCAATCAATTCAACCTGATTGACATTTATAGAATGCTATAACCAACAACTGCAGAATACACATTCTTTTCAAGTTGGCATGGGACATTTACCAATGTTCACTGTAAGCTGGGTCATGAAATAAATCTCCACAATCTCAGAAGATTTAAATCTTTCAGAATATGTTCTCTGACTATAGCAGAAACAAATTAGAAACTAGTAACCAGTTAGAAAGCAGTAGCATGATATCTAGAAAATATTAGAATTGAAATGACATACTTTAAAATAACCAATGGATCAAAGAACAAATCACAAAGTAGATTTTAACGCAATCAAAATAAAAATAGTATGTTAAGTTTTGTGAAATATAACTAAGGCAGTAACAAGAGAAATGTGTATAGCTTTAAATGCTTATGTATTAGAAAGAAAGAAAGACTTCAAATCAGCGCCCTAAATTTTCCAATTTAAAAATCTGAAAAAGGGAGGACTTCCGCCAAGATGGAGGTGTAGGTGCAAGCACTGTGCCTCCTCCCACAACCAAGTTTAAAAACAACAAAGTTTTAGCAAGAAAAACATAGCCCAAACCACAGAAAATTGAACTTCACGGAAGTCTGACAACAACGAACCCTTCAGCCAAACCGGTAAGAGGGACAGAGCCAGCAGCATAGCGGGTTGGGCAGGAAAGATCCACCTGACCGACCAGGGCGCAGGACCCAGGTGCACCAGCAGCCGTAGGCGGATCGCAGGTGTGGAGAAGCAGGCGGACCCACTGAAGGCAAGGGGTGGCGGACTCACTGAAGACTGACCACAGTCACACATTTGCACGCAGATAAACCAGTGAAGGAGGGAGCAGTGAGACAGACCATGCAGGCCCCAGTGGCAGGAAGCAGCAGAGGGGACCACCATTGTCCCTCTCTGACCCGCCCCCACATACAGCGTCACAAACTAGCGACCTGGGTGGCCTCGCCCTGGTGAACAACTAAGGCTCCACTCCTCATACCTAACAGGCATGAACAGATCAAAACATGGCTCAAGAAGAACTTAGAGCCCCAGAGCTGATCAATCTAAGCGATGAAGAAATAGCCAAACTTTCAGATGCACAGTTCAAAACACTGGTGATCAGGATACCCACAGAACTGGTTGATTTTAGTCGCAAATTAGAGGAACATATGAAGGCTAAACTAATTGAAATGAAGGGAAATGCACAGGAAACCAATAGTAATGGAAAGGAAACTGGGACTCAAATCAAGGGAGTGGACCTGAAGGAGGAAAAAAAATGACCAAACAGAAAAGAATGTAGAAACAAGAATTCAAAAAAATGAGGAGAGACTTAGGAACCTCCAGGACATCTTTAAACGATCCAACATCCGAATTATAGGGGTACCAGAAGGGGAAGAGGAAGAGCAATGAGTGGAAAATGTATTCGAACAAATAATAAAGGAGAATTTCCCCAATCTGGCAAAGGCAGTAGACTTCCAGGAAATCCAGGAAGCTCAGAGAGTCCCAAAGAAGTTGGACTCAAGAAGGAACACACCAAGGCACATCATAATTATGTTAGCCAAGATTAAAATGAAAGAGAGAATCCCAGAAGCAGCAAGAGCTAAGGGGAGAGTTACCTACAAAGGAGTTCCCATCAGACTGTCAGCTGATTTCTCAAAAGAGACCTTACAGGCAAGAAGGGGCTGGAAAGAAGTATTCCAAGTCATGAAATCCAAAGACCTACATCCAAGATTGCTCTATCCAGCAAAGCTTTCATTTAGAATGGAAGGGCAGATAAAGTGCTTCTCAGATAAGATCAAATTCAAGGAGCTCATCATCACCAAACCCTTATTATATGAAATGTTAAAGGGACTTAATCTAAGAACAAGAAGATAAAAAAGATGAACAGTGAAAGGACAGCAAACTCACAATTATTAACAACCACACCTAAAACAAAAGCAAACTAAGAGGATAGGTAGATCAGGAGCAGAACCATAGAAATGAAGATCACGTGGAGGGTTAGCAACAGGGGAGTGGGAAGAGGAGAAGGGGGGAGAAGGTACAGAAAATAAGTAGCATAGATGGTAGGTAGAAAATAGCGTGGAGGGCAAGAATAGTAGGGGAGATATAGAATCTAAAGACCTTGAGACACGTGGTCATAAACTAAAGGCAGGGAATGGTGGGGGAGGGGGTGTGCAGGGTGGAGGGGAATGAAGGGGGGAATAGAACAACTGTAATGGCATAATCAATAAAATATATTTTAAAAAATTTGAAAAAGGTAAGCAGAATAAACTTAAACATGTAGAAAGATGGAAATACTAAATCAAGGTTAATAATATAGAAAATATAGAATATAAACAAACAGTAGTGAAAACTAACAAAGCAAAAAGTGAGTCCTTCAGAAAGATTTTTAAAAGTATTAAGCCTCAAACAAGCCTGATTAAGAAACAAGTGGCCCCACAGATGAAAATGTAAAACTCGGAACTATGCCCATCATTGCTGCTAATTGGGTTGAAGTATGCTCTGGTGTATCGTTGGGTATAGAGCCTAGGAAGCCATTTTTCTAGGCTCACCACTGATTTTTTGAAAAAAGCATTTAAGCATTTTCTTCCTTGCCTGTTTCTCCAACCATGAGCCCAAAGAAAAACACTAGAAACAGAAAAAGTGTGTGTGAGTGGAAGGAGGGTGAAAACATTGTGAAATAGTATAGAATCCGTGACTTGAAACTGGTAAGATGCCCTGACTGATGTGGCTCAGTGGGTTGGGAGTCCCACCACAAACCACGAGGTCACTGATTTCCCAGGCAGGGCACATGCCTGGTTTGCAAGCCAGGTCCCCATGAGGGCCTTGCAAGAGGCAACAGATTGATGTTTCTCTCACACATGGATGTTTCTCTCCCTCTGTTTTTCCCTCCCTTCCCCTCCCTCAGAAAAAATAAATAAATAATACCTTTAAAAAAAGAAACTTGTAAGATACTTTATAATCCTTGAATAAAAGCACAAATGCATCAGTTATGAAATCACTGATTTTATTTTTATTTATTTCTCTTTTGGGGGCTTAGGAAGACCTCATATATACAAAATCTGGTTATTCAGAATCCTTGATTCACAAACATTAGTGTCTTTGGTATGGGCACAACTATCTTCTTTTCATGTATTAATTTTTTATTTTTTGCTTTTGTTTAATTATTTAATGAAAAACCTATGAACCTGTCATGCAATTAAATGACTACAAATAACCCCCGAATTAAACTTACCTACGTGCTATCTTCCTCAACACCAGAAATAACCACTCTCCTGAATTTTGCGTTCATCTTTTAGTCTGTGTATAAACAATGTTATTTAGTTTTGCTTATTTTTATCTCCATCAACTTTCTCACTCAATATTATGTTACTAAAACTCACCCACGTTGTTGTGGACAGTTATAATTCACTCATCTTATTGGATGAATATGCCACAAAATAACTTACCTTTTTTGCTGGTGTTTTATTGCTGTTTCCCAGAACACAGATGTTCAGGGACAGCACAAGGACATGCCTGGGACTGGAACTGCTGAGTCACAAGATACGACTTCATGAGATACAGCCAAATTGTTTTCCAAAATGGATGTAGTGATTTATACACCTCCCTGAAATGTACAAGTGATTCTGTTTATTTACATCCTTTCAAATATTTGATGTTGTAAAATTTTTTTTGTTGTTAAATGGGTACAAAATGGCACCTTATAATCTTGATTTGCATTCCCCTTCTTACTAATAAGCTTGAGCATCTCTTCAAATATTTTTGGCTATGTAAGTTACTGTTTTTATGAAATGCCTCTTCATCTCTTTCACTTATTATTTTATTAGACTGTTCATCTTTTTCATATGAACTTTAAGGAGTCATTTACACTCTCACAATAGTATTGTTTGTCATGTGTAACCCTCTCTTGTTTATACCCTCTCTCTATGGCTTGTCTTTTCAGTTTAGAAAGCTCTCTTTTGTTGAGTAGAATTTCTTTGTTTTAATGTAGTTAAATGCCTCAAGCTTTTACATTTATGGCCAGTACACTTTGTGGTATTGTTTAAAACGTCCATAGCCAAAAAGGTATTCACTTATAGAACTCTGAAAGTTTTAAAGTTCTGCACTTGACACCTAAATCTTTGTCCATGTGGAATTGATTTTTGTGTTTGGTGTAAGGTAGGGATCTAATTTCATTTTCTCCTTTATAGATAATTGTATCTGTCTTCTTTGTCTTCAGGCAGGAGAGTGACAGAGAGCCCAAGAAGAAACTCTCTCAACATGTATATTTCTCACTGGAGTCACAGAAGAGAAGACCATGTCACCCATCTGTGGGGACACAAACTTAATGTACAGCCCAGAGATGTGTCATTGGATTGCAGGGATGGGAAGAGCCTTCAGAGTTAAGTGCTCCATCACTCAGCCTCTGGAGATGCTTTACCTCAATCACCCAGGACAGATAGGTACCAGACTCAGTTTATAGCGTCTCTGGGAAAAGATTTCTCATTCCAACCCCTGCTTGTTTTTGTTACGAAGTTTCACCCCTGCTTAGTCATAGAATCATACTCGTTTTCTTTATGTGGAACCTACTGGAAAATAATTTACAATGATTTGCATGTGGATCACAAATTTACCTAAAGATCATCAATTTAAATTAGGTTTAATTAGTATTGCAGATGGAGATTTTGAACCTGAGTCCATAAAACAGATCTTTTACCGTCCTGTAACAGGTCTGTCTCTTTCAGACCATGTCATAGCATCGATGTGGGGTCCCAGGGTTCAGTAACAGGACAGAGAATGTTGGTGGTCCTTTTCTTCATCAAAAGATATTGCATTAATTTAATTTTAGTTGAATCAAACCCAATTTCTTTTTAGCCCTGAAGAGTGTAGGGGATGAAATAGTCTTTTAAAAAAGTAATTATTTTAAACAATAACAACAGCAACAACAACCAAAAATGACTTACAAACAACGCATTTAAATCTAATTCTAATCCTCAGGGGCTTTTTCCTTTTAACTTCTTTAGGTCACAGGGAAACAAGGGGCAAAAATACCAAGGCTGTGTTCCATTTTAGCCAATCACATACTGGAAATAGAACAAGAAAGCTCAACTTACAAATCAAATACAAGATCCCACCCTCAGATAGATATTTTATCTAGTAATAAAAATGTTAAATGTCTTCCTATCTGTAAAGAATGTAAAATATGCCAGGAAACTTATCCAAACTTGATCATTCTGAGAGAGGCCATAAATTTCATCTTTCTACTATAGTCTGATGCTCTCCTTTCCTGATGATATTTTCTTCTTGGTACCTCTCAGTTTGCTTGCCTTCAATATTTTTACAGCAGATCCTTTGCCATAGGCTAAAGGATACTTTTTTTTTTTACAGGTAGGGTTTGAATTATGGTTCTGCTACCCAGCTTTAGTGCTCTCCAGGTGGATATCCAAGATGTGAGTCATAGAGGCACACATCAGTTTGAGGTGGAAGGTGGTGATGATGGCTCTATCGCTTTTATAGACAATAGGAAACAGCAAAGCACATTTAGGGGTAGGGATTGGGAGAAGATATATAAGCATTTAATTTCTTTTTAGTTAGAAAAATCTCTTACGTAGTCATGTTGTTAATAGCAATCTAAATAAAGGCTTAATTGAGGCTGGTGCTAAGGTTATCTGAAGGCTGAAATAGGTTTTAAAAGTAAAGCTGAAGGCTGCACTCTTTGACAATTAGTAAATGGACTACAAGTGATATTTCTGTTTTCATTTTATGTTCAAAGACATGGACTCATAGCCTCCACACTCCCCATTAAATTGGAAGCTATACAAATTCTTTTGGATTCAGATTAAAAAGTTCTTGGTTTCTTGCTTTGCCTCTGCCATGAATGTGATGAATTTGGAAAAAAAATCACTCTAAATTTTTCATCTGTTTTTGTTACTCTATTAAACAGAGATGACCAACACATTTTACAAGGCCTTTGTTAGAAATAAAATTAACTCAGTATGATTAACTACTACATGCTATGTTTACACACAATTCCTGATTTTTTCCCTTGAAGTAATTTGAAAGGCATCTGGATTCTGGTCTCCATTCTTGGTTTAGAACTGAAAAGGGTAAAGCAAAAATTATAGAAAAGACTAGGGATGAAGGTCCCAAAGCATGTATTACAGCGTATTTTTAAGAGAAATTGGAGAAAGGAGTAAAAGTGTCTTTCCTGTCCTTTCTTTCTAGGCTTCAACTTTATGTTCTTAAAAAAAAAAAGCAAAGAATTGTATTAGAGACTCCCAATGTGAAAGTGTCAAAACTTAGATGCCAGTGTGAGAAGTAGACAGAGGGGCCAGGGAAGGAGTCCCTTGTCTTTCATCCCTTTCAAGTGTCCCTTTGATGAGTGAGCACCTGGTCCGCAGGCAGGACCTGCAGCCTGTCAGCCAACACGTGGCCAGGATGGGGCCAGCCCCTCCAGGACAGTCATGCAGCAGGGCTGGAGGGGCCTGTTCCCTCATCGGGTCAGTGTTTCCCACGGGTCGGTGTGCTTGTGTTTGGCTCCCACAGCTGTGTAGATAATATAAGAAGGAAGGAGATAAAGAAGCAAGTGGGTAGTGCAAAGTCACTCATCACCAGTTTTCTTGTCCTGTTCAGTGGCAAATGGTTGGTCACTGTTGGCTCTTTTCTATCCTGGGCGAGACACTGTTCTTTCAATTTATGTCTCCACCTCCAGTGGGCCATACACTCAGTGTCATTTCCAGTGAATTCATGTGATATTCTTATAACTCCCAGAATAACTTGCCAATGGCCATAGTTCTTTTGAAAACAAAAAGTGTGTGTGTATGTGTGTGTGTAGAAAGCATCTGTATGGATGGAGTGGAAGAGGAGTTTAAATGGAGGCAGGGTTCTTTTGGACAGCGGGGAAGTTGGGAAGGAGCACAAACATGTAAACTATAGAAAATGGAATGAAGTGAAACCATAAAGCACTGAGACTCTCTGGCATAAATGCTTACATAGTAAGCAGTGTATCACCTATGGGAAAAATAAAACAAAAAGATAATAGTATGAACTGCTGAGCTGTCTCAAAATTTAATGATTCATTTGGTCTTTAAAAAAATCTATTCAGGAAAAACTACAAACATAATTTTACCTTTCTAAGTTACTTTTTACTTGGTTTCTAGATACAATAAAAGTTTGAGCTTTTAAGTTTTACCTTTAAGGACATAAGGGAAACTTCAGGGGTAGCAGTGTTATTACTTTTGAGGAAAAAATTGGCTTTGTGACAACTGAGGTTGGGTTGAAGACAGCATTACACATTCTGCATGCACAGGACACAATGACATCTGAAGGTGGCCGACAGAATGAAGCCTGGTCTAAAAGTATGCTTTTTAAAATATTAAATCTGTACAGGCTGAATGTTGGCTCAGACCACTCTGCAAGGCCTTTCTCCTCTTCCTCCAGCCCCGTATCTCCTTCCTCTGCAACCCTACAACTTGTTATTATTATATCTCAGGCTATGTACCCTTGCACCCTTCACAGACCCTACTAAATATCTTGAAGTCTTAGACCATGTCTTAGGTTCAGCTGCCTGCAACCATGCCCATGATTATTGAGGGAGTTCTCTCAGGAGGCATCTGTAGTGTAGTGAGAGGGGAAGACCCTTAACCTGGGGTTTAACCTAGTGAGAGCCCCAGGTTAAGGCTGGGGAAAATATAGCTTCCCCCGGAACCTCTCAAGCTCTGGAGCATAAATTCTACTGCAGAGTCTGTCCTGCCTCGAGACAAAGGAGCAAGACTTTTGTATCCTTCCCTAGTGTTCCTGACCTCAAATAAGGGCATATTAACTTAGGCAAGGTGTCTTCTGTTGCCCAAGTTCAATGGTCTGAACGAGGCAGCTGAGGTGAGCCATCAGCCAAAGCATTGGCAGGAGTTGGGAAGACAAGAACATCAACCAACAAATAAAAGGGTTTCTAAGCAATCTAGGTGAGTCATCAACATCTTCTGTTTCAGACTGGCCTGGAAATCAGCACCATGCTTCCAGAATGGGAGGAACATTCTGTCGCAGGATCAACTGAGTTATGAGCAAACTTTGGACAGCCTATGGTGTAGGGTGAGGGCTCCATTGGCAGGAACCAGCATGGACTAATCAAGGTCTAGGGCCAGATGGTAATAATAAGAGTAACCACAATAATAGCTAATATTTGTATAGAGTTTATTGCATCCATAAACTATTCTGAACCCTTTACCTAAATGAACATATTTTTGTTCATCACAATAACTGAATGAGGTAAGTACTGATATCATTCCCAATTTATAGATGAAGACATTAATTTACATGTGAGGAAGTAATACTTACAAAGAGGTTACATAACTTCAACAAAGTTACAAAGCAAGCAGGTGACTGAGCTGAGTTTTAAATCCAAGTGGTCCCTACTCTAAGCCCCTTTGCTCTATATGGCTGCTCTGAAGCAGCATCACCTCCCAATCCAGAATTTAGCTACCACTGTCAGCAAGGTGGGTATGGTGTATGTATTAGTTTCCTATTGCTGCTATAACAATTACCACTAATTTAGTGACTTAAAACAACACATTTTTATTATTTTCTTGTTATGGAGGTCAGATGTCTGAAATAGGTCTCACCGGGGTAAAATCAAGGTGTCAGCTTCACAGGGCTCCTAGAGGCTGTAGGGGACAATCCATTTCCTTGCCTTGTTCAGCTTTTAGAAGCCTCCTTCATTCCTTGGTGTGTGGCCCCTTCCTCTTTCTTTAAAGCCATCAGTGTAGCCTCTGCAAATCTCTCTCACTCTGACTTTCCAGCCTCCCTCTTTTATTTACAAAGACGCTTGCTGAACACTCTGGGCCACCCAGATAATCCAGGATAATCTCCCCATCTCAAAATTTTTACTTTAATCAGTAAAATCTCTTTTGCCATATAGAGCATTATTTTATAGGTTCTGGGGATTAGGGTGGGGACATCTTTGGAAAAGTCATTATTCTGCCTACTACAGGGTGGCAAGGAGCTATCTCAGGTTTAGTTTTGGTCACTTAACCTAGCAGAAAAGGGGTTCAAAATATATTTTAATTTAAATTATGGAAGAATATAATCACATATCTTTCACATCTGAGTGTGTAAAATGAGATTTGTACCTGGTACTATGGATGGTATAAACATCTTACAACTTGCATTTATTCATTCATTTAACAGACATTCATTGACCACCTGCCATGGACTGTTGATCTTCTACTACACTTAAGTCATTTTACATTTTGAGGTCAACTTGTTGGGGTTCAGGCTAACCCAACTGACACAGCTAAGTTTGTGAATGCAATTTTCAGTATAAGCACTAGAGGGTAGGTTACTCGAAGCCTAACAGATTTCTTGTTACTTGGGTTAGATTATCTGTACTTTTTTTTTTTAATCGTGGTAAAATACACATAACATAGAATTCATCTTAACTATTTCTAAGTGTATACAGTTCATTAATGTTGAATAGATTCACACTGTTGTGAACCAGATCTCCAGAACTTTTCTATCTTGCAGAACTGAACTTCTGTAACCATTAAACAGTAACTCTTCATTGCCACCAGCCCCTGGCAACCACCATTCTACATTCTGATTCCATGAATTTGATTTCTCTAGGTACCACAAATACAGAATTTGTCTTTTGGCAAATGGCTTACTTTACTTAATGTAATATCTTCTGCATTTATCCATGTTGTAGCATGATTCAGAATTTCTTTTCTTTTTAAGACTGAATAATATTCCATTGTTTGTATGTGAGTATACCACATTTGTTGATTCATTCATCTGCCAATGGACATTTGGCTTGCTTGTCTGTAGATCTCTCAGAGTCTAGAAACCTCTCTACAGGAGGAGGTTCCCGTGGGTAACATTTTAGTTTAACTCATTATTTCTTCACCTTCTACTGACCTTCCCCACCAACTACATTCTAATTGTGAAATGACACATTCAGGTACTTAGAGGATGGTTGAATCAAAGTATGTTCAGATACAAAATATGGTTTAAAAAACTGAGCATTCACTTCTTCATGTCCCCCCACATTTTGGTGTTCCAGACATAAAAAGTAAATCTACAAAAAATGAGTTGAAAATAAGAGTAAAGAACGGCATTGCTATAAAATGTAGAATCTGAACTTGACATCAAAACACAAAATTATATTCATCACTCTGAAAATTTTTATTTGCCTCATGCTGAAGAATAATACAGAATTTTATAGCTCTGTTGTGATTACACATATATTTTTGGTCTATCTAAAATAGAAGGCCTATAATTTATACCCCTAACTTTTAAAAAGATGCTGTTCAGCTTTACATTAAAACAGAAAAAGAATGTTCCAAAATGCAGGTTAGTCGGAAGTTAGAGTTTTTCATCAACTCAGCAATGAATAAAGCTTGGACTCTTAGTTTTTTAAAAAAACAACTATGACACTCTACTTTTGGTACACATCCTACAGAAACCTTGCCAAATGTACAAAAGGTAGCACACAGTGAGGAAAAGGAATAAACAGTGAGCAAAGATGTTCATTGGATTATTGTTCATGTAACAGAATAGAAGTGTCCTAAATAACCAACAATAGGAGAATGGTTATGTGAATCATGGTATCTCAATACTACAGAACAATGTGTATCCATTTAAAAGAATGCAGCAAATAATTATATCTCTACCCAGAAATAGCTCCAAACATATTGTTAAGTTAAATAAAAGCAAGCCAAAGATTAATAAATCAGTACTTATTTATTCAATTTATATTTGCTGAGAGTCAACTATCTAATGGCTAGTTGTGAAAATTTAATGAGGTATAACTCATGAAAAACTCACTCACAACACAGCTTGACCCATATATTAAGTGCCTCCAATGTTATTTTACTAGGTAATATTCCGCTTACCTAAGCAGAATAACAAAATAAGCAGAATTACCTTCAAGGCATAATTCTTTCACCTCCTTAAGCTAGGCTAGTCCACTGTGAAACTGAACTTGACTTCATTATTCCCTTACCCACTTTGCAGACTTGCTTCTCTTCAGGCTTCCAGAGTCCTTGGGCTACAGCACTTCCATCCCCTTGCAGTCCATGCCCTTCCCTTCCCACCCACTCCCCACCCCCGTCCTTGTCCCCTGTCTACTCAGGATGCTTCATGGGGCCCCTCTTACAGACCTACCATCTTTGGGTAGAAGATTAAATATTTGTTTTGTGTCCCATGCCTATAATATCCTGACTGAATTTTTAGCTAATCTGAAATAGTTTAAACCAGATCTATAAGATATTGAAAAGAATCTTCATTTTTCATAAAGACATCTCCATTTATTAGTATAATTGGAAACATTCTCGTCTTAGGGCATAACAGCTACGTCTCTACCACTCCGGGTTCAGAACCTGAGTTCTGTAGTCCTGTGGAAGCCCAAATCTACCATGGGGTTTTAGTTCTGTGCTCTAGCACAAATTAGAATTTCTCATTTGTAAACTGAGAATTAGATGTAATTTTTGAAGATCTTTGGAAGGATTATTAAGAAAATAGGTGTAAAGCACTAAGCACAGTGCGGGGCACAGAAGGTACTCACAGGTAGAGATGTGACTGCCTGGGTAAAGGAGTGGATGTGCAGACAGTTTCATGTGTCTGGGTCACTGTCTCCTTAATATGTATGTTGGTCTCATCTCTTTATTGCAGCTGTAAGCCTTCTGAAGATGGGACCCTGCCTTCTACTAAAATTTATCCCCATAGCCAAGGTGGCTTGGTTCCTATATTTTTCAAGGAATCTTTCCTGTCTTCTTTCAAAGACTATGGTCTGGACAATGCCTCTGTTTACATATTGTGATGCTATATATGGACTTTCAAGTGTGAAGAAAAGAACACAGGACTTGAGTCAGAAAACTTAAATTTTCATCACAATTCTGCCTTGTTTGTCACTTTAACTTTCTGGGCTACACTTTTCTCACCTGTAAAATGGGGGTGATGTCACTGGCCCCGCCTTCCTCACTGGTTCATTTCAGAACTCAAAGAAGGAAGCACATTCCAAAATTTAAAAAACAGTATATACTTAAGTTAATAGTTTCATTGCTTTTACTAAAAAGGA